GGGGGAGGAGGCATGGGCCGGGGGGCCTGACAGGGTGCCCCTCCCGCCCCCATAGCAGAGCCCCTCACTCCCAATCCGCATTCCCCCCTGCAGCGATGCCCCTCACTCCCGACCTACAGCTCCCCTCTCCCAGCAACCCCGGGACACCACTTCCTGCCCACTCGACCTTGCACCACTTCCTGCCCCTCCCTGCTCTGCGACACCTACCCTGCTTCTGCCATCGTGGGGCAACTGTTGCAGGCAGCGTCGGGCACGGAGACCTCAGGAGACGGCCCCCCGGCCCCCAGACCTCCACCGGGCCCGACATTGAGGACCTCCCTCCCCTGCCCCGGCCACGAGGTAGGGAGTGCGATGGTGGGAGCCATGGGATGATGGCTTGGGAGGGAGGGGCATGCGGTGGGGGGGGCACCGCGGTGGCGGGGGGCTGCGGTACAGGAGTGATGGGCCCCACTGTGGAGGTGGGGCCACGGGTCAGGAGTGCGAGGCACTGCTATGGGGGGCTGTGGGTGAGGAGTGAAGAGCACCACTGTGCGGGTCGGGAGTGAGGGGCACTGCTATGGGGGGGCTGCGGGTCGGGAATGAGGGGCACTGCTATGGGGGGGCTGTGGGCCGGGAGTGAGGGGCAGTGGTTGGCTGGGTGCGGCAGGGAGTGTCTCCTATCCGTTAGTTTCCCCTCCCACGACATCACATAGCTGCAAGAAGGTGGGGGCGGGGCCCGGGGCTGCGGCCCCGCCTCCCCCTGCTCTGTTGGTTCCTTTCCCGTTCTCCCTTTCGTCAGCTCCCCCTTCCCCCACGGGGGTTAATTCAGGGTGTGGGAGTCTTACCCAGGGGCTGCGGGCTGGGAGGGAGGGGCACTGCTATGGGGGGTGCAGGTTGGGAGCGAGGGGCAGTGCTGGGGGAGGAGTAGGGACCCCCAGGCACCCACAGCCTGCCCCTGGCACCCCCCGGGGGCAGGAGGAGAAAGCGGGGGCAGGGTTGGGAGACCACAGAGATGGAGGGAAGAGGGACCAGAGCGTCCCCGGTGCACACAGGGCTGCACGGCGCTATGGAGCCCCCAGTGGCAGAAGGGGCCGCTCTATCTCTCTACTCCCTCGACCAGGTTCCTCAGCGGCCAATCCTAGTTGCTCGCGGCTCCCATGGCTGGGTCCACCCGTCCCATGATGCTTGTCGCCATGGTGATCATTGCCACCGCCCTCTTTTCCCTGGTGAGTGGCACGTCGGTTCCACGCATTAAGTCCGCTGTCAACAAGACTGAGAGCTCCAGGATCACTGAGACGAGCGATGTGGAGGGCACCAAGATGGCGACAGAGGACTCGAGCCCTACCCAGAATCCATTGCCTACTTCCACAGGGGTTTCCAAGATGGCCGATGACACCAACGTGACCACCGTGTCTCCGTCCCCCACGGCTGGGCCTGCTTCCACAATACCCAGCTCCACTTCAACCCCGTTGTCACCCTGGGAGGAAACCCAGATACTGGAGAGCTCTACCCAGAATCCTTCGCATGATGCCATGGGGGCTCCTACAGCGCCCGAAGAATCTCCTACGGCCAACCAATCCGAGCTCTCCACCTACCTGAACTTGACCAAGATGACCATCCACACGTTGCCCCAGGAAGTGGACTTGAAGGGGGCAGACAACAAAACCAACTCTACCCAGAAACCTCGCAGGCCCGAAGGCGCTCCGACGATGGCTACCACGACCAGGTCCAAGATGGCCACCTTGACCTCGACCCCAGGGGAGCAAACTAAGATGGCGCCAGTGAGCTCTACCCACAAGCCATTGAGCGATGGCGGGAGCTCTCCCAAGATGGCTGCCGCCACCACAGTGGCAACCGGGAGCCCCAGCCCAGTCGGCAAGGGCAAGGCCAAGAGGCTGAGCACCACGATGCCGACCACGCCCTCCACCACCGGCAGCCATCTTGGAGGGATGTCGCTGAGGCCGACCCCGGTGACTGCTGGCGTTACCTGGGCGAGTCCCCATGCTGCCCGGAGCGCGTCCTGGGTGCTCCCCGTGGTGGTGGTGGTGGTGCTGCTCGCCCTTGTCCTATTGGCCGCTGCCTTGTGCTGGCGGCGGCAGCAGCGCTCGGGCTCCACCAGCTTCGCGGGGCAGCAGTGGGCGGGGCCAGTCCCACTGCCTGAGGAGGGCGGGGCTGGGGGCGGAGCGGAGCAGGGGGCGGAGCTCCAGGCAGGGGTGGGGCTGGAGCCGGGCCCGGCCCTGAGCACCTTCAAGGGGCGCAGCCCATCGGCCGAGGTGGCCCTGCAGGAGTTGCCCCCGGC